TCGATTTCCCCAGGGTCTACGTACGGATACCTAATGTGCCAATGCAGTGCTCTGCCGCTCTGCGTAAGTGCGCGTAAGTGTGACTGCCTTCCCCTTTCCGCGGATCCCCTCCACTCCCTTCCTCCAGGCTGACAGGTCACAGGCTGTGAGGAATGAGATCCCAAGACCATGGACGGGTCTCTTTCCGTAGCGGCACCTTGGCAGCGCCAGCCCTGTCATCCGTCCAGTTCTTGGCCTCGACCGTTGCTGGCATTATAAGGGAAATGGCAGCCGCGCTCGCATGCGCGTCTGACGGGGTCGACAATCAACCCGATTCCTTTCTTGGATCCTTCGCCGCTTGATTGTTTCTCTCCGAAGTTCCCCTTTTTCATCCACTCGTGTCTCTACTCTCTCGTGGTGCCATCTCGGACTTGTGACATCGCGAGTCTTCTTCTGTTACGTTCTGCAATACGTCCCCGAACGGCCCGGAGAGCATTCCCACTAGGCGGAAGAGAATGCGGTTTCCCGCCTGCTCCAACCGCCACCACCAGTCGGAGCATTGAGATTGCGCGCCGTACCTTATCGAGTGGTTCCTTTTTATCCCCTCAAGCCCCCAATGATTCGCACCATTCAGAGGCTAGCTGCCTCTGCCGGGAGCTCGCCCTTCTTTCTCCGGACCGTAGCACGGCTTTCTCTCTTGATACTGCTTCTCTCAGTCGTCTACCAGTATTTCGTATTCGGTACGATTTAAGCAGTTCCATTCTCCAACCGCCCCACCAATTTATGGTCCTGGACAAGCTTAAGCTTGAGTCAAGAAGCTGACACGAGATGCAGGCCAACATGATCCCTACAAGTGCAACGCTTTGCTCTCCAACGGCACCTGGCGCTCGCGACCCGGCTCAAACTTGCCGAGAGACGTTTTTTCGAGATGGGAACCCGCCAATTGCAGGATGCGCGAGATGTCCCGCGAGGATGTCTCAGGCTGCTTCTCCGGTCGTCACCTGGTTATCATTGGAGACTCAACCATGCGCCAGCTCTACTTCGCTGCCATGACACGACTTGACCATCATGTTGCCGAAAAAGCCATTCTCGACTTCGCTGTGTCAGAAGACAAACATCAAAACCTAACCAAGGATGTTGAAGGCGTCAAACTTGAGTTTATTTGGGACCCTTGGCTCAACTCTACCAGTCTCCATAGTCAATTGGCTCGGTTTAGGGACCGTCCTAGATCCGCCGACTACGAGAAACTCGTTCGACAAGAGGGAAGAGATTCACCAGCGCTCATCGTCCTCGGCACCCCAGGTCTGTGGGCGGCCCGTCAGGGCGGTGACCGGTACTTGGAGCTCTTCAGAGAAGGCATCAACGTCCTCATGCCGTACCTGCACAAGAGCATCGACGAATTGATGGTGTACCCCCAGAGCAACTCGCAGTCAGCCTTTGAAGAGCTCTCGAATCATGTCCTTATGGCACCCGTGCCTGTCCCAGCCTACGATATGCTTACGACGTCCCGCGCGCGAGCCATCACTCCTAAGAGGATTGACGCCATGAACTGGAACTTGGAGCACCTGGAGCTGAACGAGCACTCGCACATCGCATGGGCCTACAATAGCATGACCGAGAGACACGGCGACGCTATGCTTGAGGATGGTATCCACTCGGTCGACATTGTAGCAGAGAGAAAACTAGATGTCGTCCTCAATGCCCACTGCAACGCCGGTCTGATTAGACGAGGATACGCCAACCAGGTCACTTGCTGTGTGCCGTATCCCCCTCTTCGTCGGATTCAGCTTCTGCTGCTTGGCCTCAATGTGTTGACAATGCCAATCCTGTTCTTGAGTCGGCAGCAGGATGCTTTTCCGTCTGCCCGAACGTCCCGCTTCATGGATACTCTTTTGGCGTTGGCTACTATGCTGGTCGTTGCGGTATACTGCCTTGTGGCCGACCGGACTCACATTTTCGCGAAGCAGGACAAGCACTTTGACATACCAGACTTTATATTACCTTTGGTTGGCCTAGCTATTTTCGCAGCGCTGTCAATTCGTTTCAAAGCACCCGTCTTGTCGTCGGCGAAAGGGCTGACTACAACGTCTTTTCTGTCCCGGGAGCAAACAGACGAATGGCGAGGCTTGATGCTGGTATTCGTCCTACTGTACAAGTACCACACGGCATCCGAGTCCTTGGCGATGTATAAGGTACACAAGTTCCTCATGGCGACCTTCATCTTCTTGTTCAGCTACGGTCACACGATGTACTTCCTCCGCACCGAAGACTTTTCGCTGCGCAGGGTCGCGTATGTATTAGGTCGGCTGAACCTGCTAACCTGCCTCATCGCCTTCATGGTATCAAGCGAATGGATCATATACACTGCACCGCTGTTGACGTTTTGGTTTGCTGTCATCTACACAACACTGGCTTGTTTTAAGAAGTCCAACAGCAACCCCGTTGCATTCTTCGTAAAGGTTGTTGTATTTGCTGCAGGGACTTCGTACTTGGTACAAAGCACCCGTACACCTGAGCGTTTTCTTTTAATGCTCAAACGGACTTGTGGAATTTACTGGGACGTAAATCTCCTGCGCGCCCACTTTGCCATGGACCGCTTCATTCCTTACTTTGGCATATTTACGGCGGCTGCTACGCACCGAGTCTCGGTCCTCAGGCGCCGTCAGCATGGCATCAACGTCCAGGCTTCCTTCGAAAAGATCAACAACGCACTTGACCGTGGGTTGTTGGAAATCACGTATCCAGAACAAGACGCAATTCCGGTGAAGCCGATAATGACCCTTTTCGCCGTTGCGTATCTCATCGTTTTCGTCATTCTTGCGTTCATCGCCGAGGTATACCACAATAACCAGTCTTACGACACCTACCACCCGTATACGAGCCCCTGGTTCGTGCTGTCGGCCATCATTACAAGGAACTCTTTCCGGAAGTTGCGAGATCTTCAAATACCGCCTGCAGCAGCTCTTGGAAGAATGTCGCTTGAAGCCTACATTCTGCACCATCACATATGGCTTGCGAGTGACGGAGCTGGAGTTTTGAGGATTGGAAGCGGAGGCCGCCTACCGAGAGCAGCTGAAATAACCATCATTGCTACTGTCTTTCTTTGGGCCTGTAACGGATGCCAGAGTGCTACTGTCCGCATTGTTCAAGGTTTGACAGGAGTAGAGGAGAGAGAGCAGGCCGAAGAAGTCTCGTTGGGTCGCACCCTGCCGGTTAAGGACGGTAAGACAAGTCCTGTCCCATGGCGGTCGGCGGCAGCAATGGAGAATGCGATAGAAAGAGGAAGGACGAAAAGCTCTTTTGTGTCAAACAGTGCCTTGCGACTGAAGTTTGTGGGCTTCCTGGCTTTGCTGTGGCTTGGTAATATGACTTATGGTGTATGATGGGCATTGTACGATAATCCCGGGTTGGAACCGAACATTCCCTCTACCCGGAATGACGCAAGGCAAAATTTCAGTATTAATGATTACACGAGGCGACGCCACAGAGTTGCAGATGATACACTTTTTGTCCATCAGTGAGTCGCATTGAAGTGGTATGCTGTACTAAACAGGGACAGGGATGAGGGGCTTCAGTTGTGTGTTTCGAATCTGCTCCATCTACCCACACAAACATCAAACTCCGATGTGGTCTTTGGAAAACAAGCTTCGGCTCCCCGTTATCCAAGCTGTCATCGGTTCAGGCGGCAAGCATTTATGCTTTGGACTAGCCCTTGGCATCTGCGTCGGCTTGAGCCTAACTCAAAAAACCACCTAATTCTCCGATTGGGGTTGGTGTTGCTGGATGACATTTCCAAGAGCCGCAGATGCGTCTGGAAATTGTCCCGACGCGCTCCCAGCAGCCTTCGCAATCTCGAGGTCTTCTGATTTGCGGCTTCCTTCCTGCCTGGATGCGATCTTTACTTGGCGGATGATCATGGCGAGGGCAATCCTACGGAGATTTACAGATAGCCACCGGCATCACTCGCGACGAGTTGCCAAACTCTACGCATTGACGTGACACCATCCCCTGCTGACTCGTAAATGGAAAGAGAAAACACGGGATTGGACCACAACCCCTCCTCCCTTCTCGGCCTCTCCCCTGTCTCATGAGGCTCTTCTGTGATACCGTTTCGCGTGGGGTCGCAAAGCCACCCAGGGTGTCGTAGAAGGCGGCAATGTGATTGGTGGCTAGAGGACCGAAACTCGCCCCTTTCGTCGATGGGATGATGGCTGCTTTGACAGGTGCGGCATGGGACGGTTGAGACGGCACACGGTCGGCGTACGGGTATGTCAAGTTGGTATCAAGGTTGGATGGCAGGTGAGGCTGGGGTTCCCTCTTACTGTTCTATCAGAGCTGTCCTGATTTTGGGTTCCGTTACCCCTCTCTGGGACCAGGACACCCTTTCCCCCTTGGCCTCGAGATCTCGAAATGCCCCCTGGCTCTGAAGCCACCATCGTGTGTTCTTCTGTTCCTGGCCGCGGCTTTACTTAATTTTTAGGACTGGGGTCAAGGGCTCGGGAGTTTTACGACGAGACGATTGTCTACCAGATCTGTCAGCCTGTCCATCTACGACTCGGAGGCCCCTCCCTCTTCCTTAGGGCATTCCATACCGGCCACGGGAAACGCAACTCCCGGCAGCAGGAGGGATTCATCGACAGAGGGCGAGCATGGCCATGATGCTGTTTCCGGACGGCGAGAAAGATGGTCTGGATAAGGTTAATATACATATGCAGTCCGCCAGCACCCTATTACTCCTCTCATTTCCTGCATTGCAACTGATCAGAAGAGATCAACAGATTATACTCCGATAGAGTAGATCTCTTGGCTCCCTTCGCGTTTACTTTTCCCTCTATTTTGCCTTCCTTTCTCTTCTCCGTGAGCCCTAGCGGCCACTTCTAATTCTCCCATAATTCGATTCTTTACAGTCCTTTTCTATCCATAATTATAACCTTTCGAGTCGGTTGTGCCTTGAACACTCGCTGCCTTTTTGCCCATCGTTTGTAAATCCTAATCGTTTGTGTGGACCTTTGGAATAAGCCATGCATCTCAAGCACGTTATTACTGCCCTGGCGGCGTTCAGCTCGTTGGCTGCGGCGGGTAGGTCTCGACTTCATCTTGTACTCTGACTGCATGGTAATGCTAACTGTCTTGATTTCCAGCACCTGCTCAGGATGCAAAAGCCGCGGACAAGGGGCAGGGTCAAAATCAGAATCAGAACCAGAACCAGAACCAGGGTCAGGATAAGAACAATGCCAAGGGGAACAACAACAATAACAATGGCAAGAACAACAACAATAATAACAATAAGAACAATGGCGACGTGAACATTATCCAAAACATCATCAAGCCCAACATCATCGTCGTCCAGGAGAACCTCGACAAGATCAATCAGTTGCAGAGGCAGAACGAGAGAGAACTCGCCGCGTTGGTGCAGTCCCAGCTCGCGCTTGCGACACAGCTGCAGACCGTCAAGGATAACATTCGGATTAATCACTTCAAGGCCCAGTTTCCTCAGGCGGTGAGTCTTTCCCTGTCCTCCGGATATGCCGCTTTGATACAACCGGCAACGAGCATACAATAATGATGAGCGCAAGACTGACTTTGGACAAAGAACACTATCATCGTTACTGTTACCGGCTTAGTCGACAACAGAAATCAGGGGCAACAGAACAAGCGGTACCTCGTCAACCAGCTCCTCGCAGACAATGGGCAGGCAGGGAAACAGACGCTCGTCATGGTAACGGACCCAACTAACCTGGAGATCTCAACACAACAAGCAGCGTCAGCCCAGGCAAACGCCTTTGGCGCCGCCCGCGTGCAACTTGAGTCTTCCGCTTCGCCCGCTGGATCCAACACGTCCGACTTCAGTGCCCAAGCCGTCGGGTCCGCCACCGCCGACAACAGCCTCAGTCTCGCAGCCTTCAACCAGGCAGCGCCCTTCGGCCAGATAGGCCAGAGCATCATCCTCCCCGCAGGCACACAGGCGCCGCAGCTGCTCTCGGTCCCGGACCCAGCCGCCATCATCCTACCCCAGCAACAGGGGCTCTTTGTCCAGAACGCGGGGACCTTTTTGACCGACTGCGCGACATCCGCCGCTAACGCCGCCAACGGAAACCCGGCGCTGGCCGGAGCCGCTGCGCAGATCTTTTCGAGCTTTCAGCAGATTGCCGCCGCGCAGCTGGCGGGGTTATCCGGGCTGGGAATCTTCAATGGGAATGGGGCCAACAACACGGCGCAGGCCCCCCCGCCGCCTCCTGCTCAGGCTCAGGGCCAAGGCCAAAATCTGGGAAGCATTGCGGTTGGAGCAAATCAGGGAGGAGTACAGCCGCCTCCCGCCGCAGCAGCTCAACCTCCGGCACAGGTCGCAACGCCGCCGCCGCCTCCTCCCCCTGCTCAGGCCCAGGGCCAGCAAGGCGGACAGAACCTTGAAGTATTGCAGTCGGCGCGAACCAGGGACAACCTGCTCCAGCTGCTGCTGCTCCCGCCGCTCAGGCACCAGCTCAAGTAGCCGCGCCGCCGCCAGCGTCGCAGAATGCTCCGGCAGCACAACCGGGAGCAGCCATCGTCGATGGAGCCAACCAAGCCATCGCACCGGTGCAGTTTGGAAAGAATCCCGGCACACCCCCACAAGCGGCGCCGGCTTCGGCACCGGCGGCTGCTGCTCCGCCTCAGGGAAATGCCGGGTCCGGAGTGGTGATTGTGGGATCGAGTCCCGGGGGCCAGAGCGTCACGCAACCAGCTCCGGCTCCACCTGCGGCAGTTGCTGCTGGTGCGAATCAGGCGCAACCTGCTGCCCTGCCTGCGCCAGCTGCTCCGGTGGCGGCGGCGCCTGCGGCGTAATGGTATGAATGGAAGTATGGATGGTACTTGGGAACGGGGTGAATTGGAGTTGAGAGCAGGTAGTTGGCTGGCTGGTTGGATCTACTTGGATCACGATGGGTGTTGATGATAATGAGGGCTTCATGAACGGAAAGAATCTCGTTGTCGAATCATATTGCAGGAAACTCCATGACAGGATATGTTGAGTACAATTTCGAGTAATATCAACTTCTGAAAAATGTGAAAGATGAATAAGTTCAGTGCAAGCTCCCGATTGTATAGATGGTCAGGAGTGCTTGAGAGACAAGACTGTAACAACTCTCAACTCATCCGCTGGGCACCGGAATATTGGCATCAAGACCAAGAAATCATACAATTACCTTAGTAGGTACCTTACTTGAGAAAGTGGATGAACGCCCACAGGCATTCATATGAGCGGACGAGAGTGATGTTACTGGACGATAGTGAAATCAGAGTTATTAGAGAGGGGCACGGTACGATACGTTAGCCGAGTTTATCGCCAATTGTACTTGCTGGATCACCACAAAGAGATCCAAGGAGGCTCATGCCACCGCAACTTTGGGTGCAGATACCACAACTTTGCACCATCATTGAGTTGTCGTCGGTTGAGCCAGTCCAAATTTGTGGGCTCACGAAGTTGAGCACTGGATGCACTGGATCTCTCCAAAGAGATCCCGACCAATCGAAAACGACCCCTGCAGTCTTTCTCGCATCGAGTGGATCTTAGCGTCTCGAGAGCGAGGGGTCCCAGCCGGGTCACAGCCAACCGCTGCCCACAAAAGCAGCTTAGTCAGTTATCCCCGCTGAAAAAATTCCCAGCCGTGAGGCGAAGAGGGTGCGCTCCGATTCCACGTGACCATAGGGTAAGCGAAGCCCACCGCCAAACTCGCAAATTTCCTTTCACCCACTCTCGAGAGTCTATCACACCTGACCGAATCTGTTCGTCAGCCATCAACCATCGACATCTAGGAGCAGCCTTCGTACGACAGTTGCCCAGCATGTCGCTCGTCTCCGGGGAGAAGTGTTCGTCTATCCCAGCGCCCCTCTTGCCTCTCGAGAAATAAACACCGAAATGTTTCTCGAGAGAGAGCAAGTTTCCGGAACGGCGATGCTAACTGTTTTGGTGCAGCGAACTTCCAGTTCATTCTCCGTCTTCTGAGTATGTACTCTCCTCCCACGCCGACGACAGCAAACCCTACTACACACACCACACCGATCACACCCCGAACATGAAATTCGAGACAAAAGCCGGCACGAGAATTGGAAAGAGGAAACAAGAGATGGCTAACGGTTGCTCGCAGACACCAACGTTCGTGGTCAGGAAAAGGTCATGTACGCGCTCACCAAGATTGGTGGTGTCGGTCGTCGTTACTCCAACATTGTGTGCAAGAAGGCCGATGGTACGTCTACGAGAAAGCCCTGCTCTTTCCCCCATTCCCTCCGCCAGCAGATTCCGCACACGAGGACTGCATCTTTGGCGCTAGGAACTGAAGAGCTCGAAAACATACAAGGAGGACACGAAAGACTAACCCAACCCCCATAGTCGACCTGAACAAGCGCGCCGGTGAGCTCACCTCCGAAGAGCTCGAGCGTATCGTCACCATCATCCAGAACCCTACCCAGTACAAGATCCCCGCGTGGTTCCTCAACAGACAGCGCGACATCGTCGATGGCAAGGACAGCCAGATCCTCGCCAACGGCGTCGCCTCCAAGCTCCGCGACGATCTCGAGCGCCTCAAGAAGATCCGCGCCCACCGCGGTCTCCGTCACTACTGGGGTCTCCGCGTCCGCGGTCAGCACACCAAGACCACCGGCCGCCGCGGCCGTACGGTCGGTGTGTCCAAGAAGAAGGGTGGTTAAGCGTGTGGCTTCTGATGATGAAAATTTGGGTCGTGCGGTGGCAAGGAACAATAGGCGGCGTGATACGGCTGGTTTTCTCTCCATCTCATCACTCGTGATGATACTCTACTGCTGCATTACAACAAGGGGATTGCTATTCTGCGCAGGATGGTGGCGTCTCTAGATAACGAATCGGAAGAGTTCCATCATACCAAAACAACAAAAAGCTAAAAAAGTACACGGCGTTTCTGGGTGACGACGTGACGTGAAATTTTATAAAATTGACAACGCATTAAACTGATCGAGAGCGGCAGAGAAGCTGTCAACGCACTGGTGACTTGCTGATAGAACTTATCATTAGAACTGTTTCTCCTCGACAGCCACGGAACGCTGTAAACCATAGTGACATACCATATGCCACATGCTACCTGAAGGCTATCATTTCAAAAATCTGTGCGACTTCCAAGCGAAGCGGATCCCGCTTCCTGCTCCGTGTGGAGGCAGAACCAAGGAGCCTCAACTCCACACGGGAAGCCCGAACCCCAGCCCAGCCGGTCCGGTCCGGGTTCGACCTACGATTCAAGATGAGATATCAGTATGCTCATGGATGTCCATGGGCACGTTGTGCAGCTCAAGAGCTTCTTGTTAAGACTTGAACCATAAACAATCATCGGGCCTCACAGAAGGACCGACGGAAAAGGCCAGTCTGGCACAGCACAGTGAAGCCAGTCGAAATTCATCAACAACTGACTTGACTCTACACAATATAGTGCCAAAGATGAACGGGGAAGGGGGAGCAGGATGGCAAGAGAGAGGGTTGAAGTCGAAACCGGCATATGGCCCAGGAAGTAGCGCCCGTCGTTGACGACGGCCGAACGGTATAAATGTGCATTTTCTCACTCATCAAAGTCGATTGGCGGACTCTACATGATTATAATGTTCGTGAAGATATTGCGTCAAAAGTACAAATTCAACCAGCCACCAAACCATATTTGTCCCATGGTTACAAATATCGTCTTCGCCGTTGGCCCAGCTTGCTATGACAGCTCGTAGACACCAACCTCACTTTCCTCAGGAACGCTCACATCGGATGGATGCATGGCTGATCATCATGTCGTGAATTCTACTTCCATCATGAAATCTACTGGAAAGAAAAAAACCCTTCTCGGTCTAAAAAGGGGGTATATCGACAAGAGTAACCACGTCAGTCCACCCTCACCACCACCGCCGTCTCATCCAAACCTTTTTTAATCCTCATGAATAACAGCCATATCCAAAACCTCAACCCTTCCCATCCCCTTCGTCTCACCCGCAATGAAATCCCCCAACCCTTTGAACGCGCCAGGTTCCACGAACCCGACAACCTCCCACTCGCTGCCCAGCACGTCCTGGCTCTCCACCTGCTCCACGAACCCCAGAATCCGATCCTTGACCGTGCCAGGCTTCTGCTTCTGCTCCTCGTCGCCGTCGTCGCCCCCTGCTTTCTTCCCACCGGCAGCAGGCTTCTCCTTGACAGCCTGCTTCAGAACGCTCGTCGCGCACGTCACCCGCAACCTCATCCGCGCCCTCTGCACAGGGATAGGCTGCGCTGCAATCAGCGCCTTCATCGCCTCCAGCGCCTGCGACTTGGCCGACTTGGTCGTCGTCACGCCCGTCCAGTGGAACCCCTTCTCGCGGGGCTTCGCCTCGCCCTCCTCCCCGCCCGCCGGCGTCCCCGTGCTGCTCGCCGTCTTCGATCCTCCGCCAGCGCCGGCACCACCCTTCTTCCCACCAGGCCCATCGTCTCCATCTCCGTGTGCCGCAGAACTCAGCATATCAAGCGCCTTCTCAATCATACCCGTCGTATACACCCTTTTCGTCCTCGGGTCCACAAGCCGACTCGCCACGATCCCAATCACCTCATTATGCACCCGCTCCGTCTGCTCCGCCCTCTCCTTGCCGCCAACCTGCATCTCCCCCTTTTTCAAAATCTCCAACACGATATCGTCCGTGCTCTTGCCCTTGCCAAACGCCTTTTCCAAATCCTCCTTGGGCGCCGTCTGGCCCTTGGACACGTTGAGAAACACGTTAGGGATCTGCAGCACGTTGTCGAGGTCCGTCTCAATCCCGGAACGCCACTCCATGACTTTGTTCTTGTAGCACGCAATCTCGAAGCGCTTCTTGCCCTTCTTCAGGCGGACCATGGACACGTTGGTCAGCTTGATCTGGTTCGAGGGTTGGTTGATCATCCGCGACATTGTGGCGGTTGTGGTGGGGTTGTTGGTTTTTGATGATTGTGTGAGGTGTGTGGAATGGTTTGTAGAATGGTTCTTCGCGAGAGAGTGTGTGGTTGCCTGCGGCGACAACGGGAGAGCCGTTTGGGTTCGTCGTTGTTCGGTGACGTTAAAAGTCGACCAGAAAAGTTTTGGCGGGGTAAAGGTAGGTACTGGCGTGGTGCTGCTGCGAGGAGGGGCAGCAGGTGGTGAAATATGTTTACGGCAGGTGCTGCTGGTCTGACGTTGTGTTAGCGGATACCCAGTCAGGAATTCTGCAGCTAAGGCACCTCAGAATGCGCCGGTGACTAATACTGTCATTTCGACTCATCTCCGTTACAGTGGCACAGCAGCAGGGTTGGTCCAGACCGAGCACACTCATACAGCACAGCACTGTACAAGTAGGAACAGAACACCTCAAGGTTTCGCGGGGAAAAAAAAAGTCATGTTCTAACAGCGTAACTAGATTCTACTGCGCCAGGCTTAAACTGGCGCTATTGGTAAACCGGACGACTGGGTCCTCCCGTATTGACAAACTCCAATATGCCCAGTCTTGGACTACGAACCAATTCGAGCGTTCACTGTTACAACAGCATTCCACACGCTATTCAAACTTCGTTTCGTACATCGCTCATTACTGTGAGTGCATTTACGCAGCCCACTCACCGCCAAGCCAGCGGTTGAAAAAGTCGGACGAGGCCTCGGGCTGGTCCATGGGGACCATGTGTCCGGCGCCGTACAACTGCATGAAGGTGAAGTTGCCGCTGGACTTGACCTTTCCGTACTCCTCACCCTTACCAACGGTAAGACCCTTGACCTCGGCCTTGTTAAAGCCCTTTTGGCCAGGCCACTCGAGAGCCTCGGTCCAGGCACGATTGCCGAGCCAGTTGCAAATGTAGTCAGCATCGCCAGCGTAGATAAGAACGGGGATCTTCTCGAGAAGGCTGGGAACGATGCGGTGGAAGGGCTGGAACCAGTCACCGGCGAAGAGGAAGTTGCGGTTGATGTCAAAGTTGCAGCTGTCGTAGCTGTCGACCTCTGCACCGAGAGCCTCCTTGACCTCATCCTGGTTGAGGTACTCGCTGATCCAGCCCAGGGCAGAGTAGCATAGGTTGCTGCTGTCCTCGCACTTGCCACGGATGTCGTAAACGTTCTGGCCGGTGCGCTGGTAGGGGCCGATGAGGGCGTTGTTGCAGTAGATGCTAGCGGGAACGCAAGACCAGACACTGCCAGAGTCGTAGCAGTTCTTGATCAAGCTCTGGCAACGGGGTAGAGCATTGTCCATGGCCTGGCACTCGCCCTCATCGAGAACAGCCTTGTAGCCACCCTCGCCGCAAGCCATGGGGCGGTAGTACCCATACTGGGTCCAGCCGTCAGTGAGACCGTTGCCGATCAAGACACTCTTCAGGTTGATGTTGCGGTCCTCGTGGGAGAGGATTTCAGAGGCGAAGACGGGAATGTAGTGGCCGGCGTACGACTCGCCAGCAATGTGGAAGTCCTGCTTGGAGTACTCGGGGAACTGGTGGAAGAAGAGGGAGAGAAGAGCGTAGACATCCTTGCCGGCAGCGACAGTGTTGGAGACGGAGGAACCAGAGTAGGAATAGCCTACGTTGACGGGCTGGTCAAGGAAGATGACGGAGGCGTTGTTGTTCCACGACCACTCGTTGTTGACAATCTTGAGCTTCTTGTCGATGGAAGCAGGGCCGAGCTCCATGAAGAGACCGGTCAAAGAAGAGCAGCCAGGGCCACCGTTGAGCCAAAGGACAACGGGGTCGTTCTTGGGGTCGTTGCGGGACTCGAAGAACCCTGCGATAAGGTTAGAAGCGGCTTAAGATGGACAGAAAAATGGAATCTGTCGGGTGGGATAACTTACAGTAGAAGAGATGCTTGTCGTTCTCCTCATCGTCGAGGTAGCCGCTGTACTGCTTGACCTTGTCGACGCCGAGGGCGGCGGGGTCAACGTTCTTGGCGCGAAGGTTGAAGTTCTTGAGGTCACCAGCGATCTTACGGTGCTGCTGACCATCCTTCTCAACCCACATGCTCTGGACATCGGCGCCCTTGACGACGTGGTCCCACTTCTTGTCGGACTTGCGGTGGTGAGGCTTGGGCTTGGTGGCCTGGGTGGTCTTCTTGAAGGACTCAACGGCCTCGGGGGCGAGGAGGGTGATCTCGTCCCAAACGGCTTTGGCCTCAGAGGTCATCTTGCCAAACTTGTCCTCAAAGGCAGAGAGCCAGTTCTCGCCGGTGGTCTTGATGGAGTCAAAGGGGCTATCCTGGCCGCCGAGGACTTGCTGGTCCAAGGCAAGGGCGGTGGAGGCCGCGCCGAGGACGAGGGCGGAGGTTGAGAACCTCATGATGGGCAAACAGCTCGATTGATGAGCTCTGATGATGGAATCGACTACAGATAAGATGAAAAGGGATGGTTATGGGGAGCGGAAGAAGGTAAAGATGGCGGAGGGAGGAGAGGTTGTTGATGGGAGGTTGGATGAGTTTGGGAGGAAGAGGGAGCTCGGAGGAAGTATGACAGGCGACAGGCAGGAAGCTCGCGGACGTAATAAATGAAACATGACGGAGGCGGGTTGGCTGGGTGCTCTGCATACTCTGGGTGCTTGGGGGTGGGGCGGGGAGAGAGACTCAGAGAGCAGTGGAGAGGTGCACAGCTTGTCACTGCTGCTGCTGTCATCCATCGGGGCTGGGGTGCGTTGGCCGAGCTGGGTCGCGCTACCGCTGTCGCAGGCTCGCAGCAGCAATGGATAGCAACGACACAACTCGAGCAACAGCTCAACACAAACCCGTGGACCACCCTCAATGCACAGAGGTTACTGTGGAGAGCTCCAGCTGGCAATGCACAGAAACGACTGGCTCGTGAGCTCCCCAAGGGTTGGCCAAACGATAGTCGAGAAACACTGTCCACCTGATCCCCGCGCCTCGGACGCTAAAGATAGGAACCTGCCTGTTGCAGATCTGCTAACAGACTCTCACCCATCTCCACGCGACAATCTGATAAGGCGGTACGTTCCTCCACTGGTCACTCGCTCTCGCCCGCCCTGCTTCGTCTGCGTCATGTCAGGTACCGCCGTACCGCCCGGCAAACCACCTCAGGCACCACCTCACAATCTCACGGCCAGGAACCTGTGCCGCGCGCCGTGCCTGGACCTGGGACCTTTTACTGTCGAGGATCCATAATTCTTCCATGCTGATAACCCGATGCCGCTTTCTCATTCGCCAGACTTGTCCCAAACCAAACGGGGGAGGGATCTCACCTCTAGGCGAACCCGACATTGAACACTCCAAACGCAAACTGCTTGAACCGGACGCCCCAGCAACGAAGTTCATCTTCGTGCTTTCGGTTTGCCGGGGAGCTTGAGGAGGAAGATGGTCGTATTCACAATAAACCTACTGAATAGAAGAATTGCCTCGCCGACCCACCGGTAGCCAAGCCTCTGTTGCTTTTCTGTGACACCTCATGGTGCGTTGGAGCTACCTACTTTATTCTTAATGACGCCGGCGAGCTCCGGTCAAAAGCCCCCAACGAATGCCAGCGAGATGTAGCTAGCATTTCGTTTGTCTAATATCTTTGGTTTTACTTACGGATACTGTGCCCATCTACTCTCAGATGCTTCAGGCTGTGCCAGTCCAGAAAACCACCGTTCGTCGCGGCCAAGACATGACTTCATGTGGGTGGGTCCATCCCAAGATGTGTGCGAGAACCCCTTCGGCCGTCCGGGTGGATACCCATCCATCCATCCACTAATGCCATGTCGCTACGCCCGATCAACTCAAAGGCTATCAACGCAGACCTGCCTTGCCATCAGAGCCGTTGAACTGTTATACCTTACTTACCAGTCTATATCCTAGATTTGAACAACACCTAGCGGTCGCGGCGAGTATATCTCGGTGCACGCCAGTACTCCGTAAAGTCGATTCATCATCGTAGTGAACTTGTTAGAATTTGCTATCGTCTACTATGGGCTGTCGGCCATTTTTAGCCGTATGCCGTCACATCCCTACTCCCTCAATCCCATGGTCCGATAGCACGCCCACTAGCCAGACCAAAATATGGCAATGCCTCCATTATTGCCCAATATCAGACCGTCCCTTGTCTGGCCCAAAGCTGAAATCGTCACAACCTGCCGACTTGCCCAGAACGCCGCCTCCCACCCGGCCTGCTTTTGAGCAGGCGGTCGAGGCCCGGAAGAACAATGTCGTAGGCCTTGCCATCCAGCTCATGACTTGCGCGGCCGTGTCCCCCTCGTTATCGTCGCCAATGTAGGCGAAGCACTCAAACACCCAATACGCATTAACTCCATCCCCAATACTGTACATAAATAGCGAGTTCCGTATACTGTGCTTTACAATTCTTTTCTTCGACTGTGGCGCTGCTCCCGTCATCTCGGACCGCGATTAGATTAACAACTCTGTGGTGACTCGGGTATATCGATCGCTGGGACATCTGCGTGAGTCACCACAGTTGTGGCTTTCCTGTGCCAGTGCCGCGCCATATGAATGTAGCTGCCAGAATCGGCTCGGCTCGCTCGAATCCCTTCTGATTCGTTAGGTAGCTGTGTCGGCCGCCGACATGGACGGGCTCGACGCTCTGTTGCGCCGGAAGAACTGGAAGGCATTCATGCGGAATCTACTAGATTTCTTCTTCACCACCTTGCCGCCTTCTGTCTTGCCCAAAGACCCGTTTGACAAGTGAGAGCCATTGGCATCGTGGTCCAGGAATGCAGACTCAGGCTTGGCTTCGGCGAACGGTTTGGGCTCCGAAATCGTGGGCACACCCGGAAGCTGCTCCGTCGACTCTCTGCTGACAATGCTAGTGCCTTGAGTGCTTGGCGATAGAGGCATCTTGCCGGTGGTGGCGCTCGTAGCCTGCGAAGCCCAGTCCCCGGTGTACGGGCCCGTGGTGCTGCCGTCCGTCGTTTCGCTGCACCGCTGTTTGCCGTTGTGGCCGTGATGATTATCTGGCGAGCTGCTAGCCCTGTCCCTGCAGTGGAAGGGATCGCTTGCTGCGAAGTCGGCCACCGAATCAAATGACGTGACGATGCCATTTACCTCCTTAGGGTCTTCCGGCTCCGGCATGTCTGTGACTAGCGCTGTTGTGTGCTCCGAGCCCGCTGGCTCGGGGGAAAGCCCGTCATCTTCTTGCTTCGAGTCGTCAAGCAGCGGAGGCGGCATAGCAAGCTCGGCCAGAGGCGTCATTACCCGCGGGGTCATGGAGTCTCTGCTTCCTTCGGGCCCGCCAGCCAAACTCATAGTTCGTGGGGAGAAGGCGCCGTCGTTGCGCGTAAGTCTCTTGCGGATGGGATCCTCCTTCGCCTGCTCTTCCCGAATACGTTGCTCGAAAAGACCTTTATTGATTTCGAGCTCGTCAACAGTGTATTTCATCGCTGGCAATATGTCCGCCACTCCCTGGAAGAGAGGGATGGCGAATAGATTCATGAAGCTCAGCTGGGCCTTAGACAGTGAGATCAGGTCCTTCTTCGGGGGCGACAGAAGAGACGACGTAATTTCCAATTCGCTCTCCATGGAAGCCTGTCGAGAGAACTCATCCGAAAGAATGTACATCCACTTCAGCGCGGTTTCGTGCTTCCTTGCCTGCAAGCCGTTCGAGTTAGTTACCAAACTACAACATGAAAAACTGTTGAAAACTGACCACATTGCTGATGTCTGCGCATTTGATGAGCAGTGAGCATACGAGAGCCTTTTGCTCCTCTTGCATGCGACCATTCCAACCATCAGTTGTGTTGTCAACATCTAGTTTGTCCTGAGTATCTCCGAGCCTTTTCATGTAATCAAAGTGCAGGCCCATGTCCGTGGCGAGGATTGAGCTGATCATGAGGTGCCTCATCTTGGAATCTTCAAAAGCGCTTGGCCAATACCTTCGAAGGATCTGTGAATAGGCAGCGCAATGGAATGACTCGAGTACTGATCGGTCATTGTACAACTGTGCCAGTGGGGCATTGAGAGTGACCAAAAACCCGTTATTGACACCAGGGTGGCCGACATCATGTCCAATGGCCGTGATCAAAAGCGTCAAGCCGTCGAACGGATGAAGCAGCTTCGCCATTGGGGAGCTCTGCGGTGGATCCTGATCCGACAAGGGATCGGCGGGATATGGCGCGAGAATACCAACACGAACCAGGAAGTGGAAAGTAGCCTGTAGAACATCGACAACATGGCGGAAGTTGTGATAAGGGACAAAGTTATTGTATGCAGCCCTGCAAGCGACCAGGAAGCTTATGAGCTGGTCTACTCGAATCGTCAGTAGCCGTCCACGTATGGCTCATGTAGGCGCAATGTACTCACCTGTCGGTATCCGCCATCGATCCAACTCGGGCATTGTCAAAGCATGCTTGAACATCACCATGGCCGCAACAAGGAGCTCGTCATCTGTGAAACTATGCGCGCAAAAGTGCCACTGACCAACGGCGGCAGCGACAGCAGCTTGGCGATCGGTGGAGACGGCAATGCTGACATTTGAGATCCGATCATCGTCAGAGTCCGCGCCTGACCGGCAAATGCCCCTCATAAGTCCGGATACCATGGCTTCCCTGAGATAGGAAAACGGTTTCTCCTCGTTGATCCCGACCCATGACCGTTTTCTACCGCGGCGTACTTCAAGCATTTCCTGCTGTTCTCGGGCCGCATCCTTATGTGCCCGATAAGCATGGATTTCTAGACTCGTGATGCATTTGAGGTGTAGAGGACTGATGATGACATCCACGGCTCCTAGATCCAGGCATCGAATGACTAGGCGTCGATCAACTGATGACGAAGACTTGGGTTTCGCATCGTCGCCAGCCGGAAATGTTGCGTTGCCATCCTCAAGAGGCGAAAAGCTAACGATAGGTATCGGCACAATCAGCTTTGATAAACTACGGAGATGCGACTCGGTCATGATCCTTTGTAGCAATTTGAGACCGTACACATCCTCCTCAGGAGTGTGGATGTTGATATCGGCAGTAGTCGGGCGAGAGTGCGGCGATGGTGATCGAGACCGGGACCGGATTCTGGGTAGCCGTTCGTCGTGGGGCACATCAATGAGAACCAAAGTTGGCGTGAGGTCCATCATGGACTCGTCGGACAGCTGGAACAGCGTAGATATACAGGCCGATCCTGTGGAGCAAAGATAAACTGAACAAATGGTTAGTCCACGAGGCCACGAGTGTATGGTATTCAGTCCGAGCCTACCTTCCCCAAAGGTGTCCAGTAGCAAGTCTGCATCTTTCTGAATATCGTCATTCTCCCGCACGACGGGTTCGGTAGCGTCTAATGGCTGATCATCGTGCGCATTAGGTCGGATAAGCCTGTCCTGGCGAACCTGACGGTTCACGTAGACGACATGGCAAGTGGCATTGTCCATCATGGCTTTAGGGAGCAACCAGTCTCGCGACCGGAGCGCTCTGGCCACTAGGGCAAAGAGTAACTACGAGCGTAACGATGCGATTGATCAAAGTTGCGATTGCTGAGCTTTTGCAGCGGGTCAAGTCGAGGACGGCGACCCAGTCCTGTCGAAAAGCAGCACGACGGCGCAACACCTTTAGCGTCCTAATGGATGCGCAATGCGCGACGAAGGATTCAATGAAGCAGGCTTCGTGATAAAGTCGTCGGGGTTGGAAGGCAAGTGGTGGTCGGGAATTGGACCAGGAGTCTCATGAATGGTATTTCACCAAGAGCGGGCGACGAAGCAGCGGTGGCGCGGTGGTTCCGACGGTCACCAGAATTGGCATCGATGGTAGTCGCACGAAACCAGATTGGCCGAGATCATGGACGTGATGTTTGCTCGTAGTGTCGAGGCGTGTACGGATCCTTCTGGGTTTTTGTGTGAGTAGGGGCGATCGGGAGAGGGGGGGATTTGTCGTTTCGCAGTTGCGGGTACTGTCGCGCTGAAAGTTCGCATGTACTCGAGGCGAAGAGTGGAGGCTTCGGTATGCTGGCGCTGTTGATAGCGAGCGAGGTCTTTGGGTCAGTCTGGCATAGGAGGAAGTTGAGAGGAAGAAAGAATTGCAAAATTGGGCGACAGAGAAGCGGAGCACAAGAGGGAAGCGACGACAAATGGACGTGATATCATGAAGGGTAGGCTACGTACAGCAAGGGCTGGGACGAACGGGCGTGAAGTGGGAAGAAAGGAAAGAGGGCGACTGAGCGGCCAGCTGGGACGGGGAGGATTGGAGTTTGGGTCCTTGGACTGGGACTTGGGAGACTGGGACTGGGACTGGGACTGGGAGGAGGAGTACGAAAGTACAATGGACTGGGTCGAGTACGAAATTGTTAAGCAACGCAAGGGGGGTGGGTGGATGTGCGGCGGCGTGCCAGGTGCGAAAGAGGGCGAGGGTGAGTGGGAGAGCTACCTAGGTACCTACTGCGTAAGGTAAGGTAGAGACGGGGACGGGAGGAGAGACAACGGGAGAGATGAGAGACACCTAGGTAGTCCAGGCTCAGCGCTGAGTGGTGGTTGCAGTTGCAGTGTTGCGGGTGCGGGTGCGGGTGAGGTGCAGGTGCAGCAAGCAGTCCTGGGCAAGAAAGGCAAGGTACCTACCATACGCAGTAGGTACCTAGCAGCAGCAACAAGCAGCAGGAGCAGGCACTGGGAATGTGTGGTGTGCATGTGAGGTGTGGAGGGTGTGTGGGTTCCAGTGGGTGGGTAGGTGGGCAGAATATACCACAGGCGTACCGTACGCAGTAGGTACGCAGCTGACGACGGTACCTACCTACCTGGGTAAGGTAGAGCGCACCCCCAAATGGGCCCAAAATGCTGCTTGCGAATAAAACAGACGGGAAAAGGAAGGCAGGCGAGCGAGCGAGCGAGCAAGTGCTAAAACCAGGCAGATCAGGTAAAGGAGGGCAAGGTAGCGAGTACACATACTACCTTCAGGTTTGCCGTCACCCTTCCACCTCACCTCACGTTCACCACTGGGAGCCCCCACTGCCATTCCTCAGTGCAGCAACGCAGCTCAGAGACCGTGGAGGTTTACCGGGCACGAGGAGGTACGTTAAGATAGGTCCATGTACCAATTACAGAGTACCTGCTGTACCTAGGTGTTTCCTCCCAATGGGTCATGCCTCCCCTCCCGTCAGCCTACCTACCTACCCAGGTTTTGGTGACAGAACGCGAGTGCAAGTACCTATGTGCCTACATACTTTGCCCAACAAAGCAACGCGGGACAGAACAAGAAACAGAACTCGAAGCTCTCCAAACTGTGGAAAAAAAGCTAGAGGAGTGTAACTTGACACCGGGCTAGCATGGTAACATCCACTTCCCACAGAGTCTTTTCTTCTTGTGCCCTGGGGTGGCGACGTAGAGTTCGAGCGAATGAGTAAGTGAGGTGGGGGAGGCGACTGAGTCCTCGGGACTAAGAGTGTTTATGGTGTTGGCGCCTTTTTTATTTCTCTGGTCTAGACTCTGGAGAATGGGGGGTTTTGTCTTCGTCCTTTTCTCTTTGCCGGCAGTCTAGCACCGTGTCACTCCATCTATCAGGCGTATGCAGTAGGAACGAGGAATAGCAAAGCATGAAGCGACCCGGTCCGGTGTCAGTAACAATACTACAGAAGCAAAGGGATTGGCCAAAAGAAAAGAGGCGAGAAACAGGAGAGCAAATTGCGAATGCGGATGGGATTGACAGAGAAGCAGATAGAAGGAGTAGATGGTGGCGGGAGTGGTAAGTAGTGTGGTAATCCAATGGCAGGCAGTTGGGACTTGGAGGTGTGAGAGAGGTGTGAACCTGTGTGAGGTGTGTGGTATTAACATGTGTGGCCTTAACCTATGGGTTGTGTTTGAAGTTGCACCGTATACCTGAAGCCTGGAGGGAAGGAATGGAAGCCATGGAAGGCATCGGTTTTCCTTCCCACCAGGTACGAATACCTACCTACCATACACTACCTTTATCCGTAAGCCCAGGGAACGAGGTCACTTCGAATGGGGTATGGCGTGGTCTCGTCTGCTTTGGGTTGCGCCTGTCTTCCAAAGCCAAGGATTGACTGGCGCCGCGAACTTGGGAGGAATGGATGGAAGCAGAGACCAGAGCCAAAAAAGAATCTAATACCGGGAATCCAGACGACAATCCAGACATGGTAAGGTGGACAGTACATAGCTTCTGCTTGCTTTCTGGCCCATAACACATACAGAAAGAATGGAAAAAGAAAGAAAGATGTCCAATCGAAACCCCACGAACCGACCCAGTAACGCCGAATAAGGACAGGTAGAGACAGAGACAACTCCAGCCGAAATAGTTCAAACCAGCTTGGCCCAAATATTCCACAATTTCGTGCTGTTTTGTGTCTTCCGACTCCGATTCCAGTTTCGTGAGTACGAAGATATGTGAAGAGCCTAGCTTCACGGTTCACTGAGGCCTCGAGACAGGAGGGTTGAATGTGACTGCAACGCCATATGAGCCAGGGCATGGCTGGGCTTCCAAGCGACATGCTTCAGATTACCGGTACCGGTACCTACCTTACCACCTTACGTTTGAGTGAAGAAAGGGGCGTTACTTGGGGAGTCTCTCTGGTGACGGTTGTGTCTGCCTTTCTCTTTTCTTCTCGCTTGGGAATCTGGTGCAAATGCAACAGAAGCATTCCCTCCGACCCAAGATTCGTGACAAACAACAGCATGCCAAGACGGGCAGCTTCAGATCCGACCCTTGTTCGTGTTGACTGTATTCTGCAGAATATAGCCGTGCCGAGCATACACTGGTCTTGCACAGGTACTCGACATCAACACAACTCAACTCGGCCAAAAAAAAGTTCGACAGAAAGCAGATGGGAAGCACGGAGCGCGGGTGAAAATACGATGAACGTGGGTCGAGAAGCAGGCCGACAAAGCGGACAACTGGAGACAGATTCGACCGAGTTATTTGATAGGCATCCGTACTGAGACGCACAGAGCAAAGGTGACGGACGGCTGGCGCTCGTGCTGAATGGCCTGCTGGGCAGCTGGCTGGCCGAAAATCAAATGCTAGTGGTAGGTATTCGTAGGCTGTGGCAGCGCAGGTAGGCTCTTGTCAGGGCCTGGGGTGCGAGGCAAGGCGGAAGGAAGACTTTGTCGGACTCAGAATGTCAGTGCCCGTCGGAATCAGAATGTCAGATCTGGATTCGGACAAGCCCAAGCCCCTGGCAGGCATGGGACGATGACGGAGGGGGGGAGGGAAAGATGCCTGCAAGAGGGTACCTCGTCCCGCAGTGGCTGACCATCCTGCGCATCCGTTCCTGTGGGTGCCGGTGGTCGTCAAAATCACGCCCCTGCGCTCGCTCTAGAAGCTGTGTGCGCGTCTGCCTTTTGACGTTGTTGAAACGACTGGTGATGGATTCACTTGATTGATTGATGGAGGGATACGGAGTACCTACGTGATAAAATGGATGGGCGAAGGGATTGGTCGTGGGAGTTGTTGGTGAGATTGTAGTGTGAAGCAATACATCAGTGATCGGCCGCTGCGGTTTTCGGGCTGGTGGTGCTTATCTCGTGTGTGTGAGGGGGGCAGCAGGGCAGCAGCTCACAAGCAAGGGGGGCCAGCAGCGGGGGAAAGGGACAGGGCCCTGCATCCAGTCTTCTGGCCGCCTTCTCGAACATCGATCGAAAGTGTGGAAGCCCACGAAGCCTTCTTCGGAGCCACTTTGCCATGCAGTCGAGGGGCGCACCGGGGATGGCGACTGGAACCACTGGGAACAGGGTTTGCAGGGGAGAAGCACGTCAAAGGCAGGCCGCAAGGGAAAAGGGGTGGGGGGGGGGGGTCCGGTTTTTGTGGAAGGTAGTGCATCCGTGCCCCGGTACCTTGACCAATCCCGTCAACCACCTCTCTGCTTGTATCTGTGCCTCAGGCATGACATTGTAACTATCCAGGTCGAGGTACCCAGGGCAAGTACCTCTCCCATTCCTCCCCATGGAAGGGCCCAAAAGCCAATGGAGGTAAGAAGCACCTGGCACGCCTGGGTTGGCAAGAAGGGGTGGTGGAAAGAAGCACCTGGGCGTCTGCGCCGTAGCACACCGGCACCCACCTTCCCGCCCGCCGCCATCTCTGACTGGCGCAAGCATCTGCTGGATGACGCCTTGGTGGCTGCTTCCATTTCGATTGCGCCTGCGCCTGCGAGCTGCGAGGCGTGCCTGCCGTTCTGAGACACGTTCCTCGAGACCTCAACACCTAGCAACTGGTTCCTTCCATTTCGACGACGGGAGTCGACGCACCTCAGGCAGGTGCACAATCAAGCCACCTACCTCGGTGACTAAGGTCGGGCATCGGAAGGTTCCCGAGGTGATGAACCCAGAAGTCTCGCTGTCGCTGTCGCAGTCGGTTCGTGGCTTCCATTCTCACCTTCCATGTACAACAACCGCGGTAGACGGTAGAAAAGATACATGTTTCAATTATCAAACCTCAACCTTCAACTCAGCAACCAGGCGGGTGGGATGGCTCAGGTACGCACACACGCACGCAGCCTGACTGTTGGGAATGTACGGGAATGAGCAAGCATTGAGACGTTCTTCCTCCGCCGTACGGTCGGTCGCCGTGCGGGTGTCACTGTCAAACTTCAACGCACGCAACGCAAGCACGCAGATGAGATTTCTCAGAGGGGAACCGAAACATCTGGTCCAGAACTCAGGTCTCCAGTCTCCAAATGCACGTCGGCTATCCGTAAGCGCTGTCTATCTTTTGGATGCCTACCCTACGGAGTACGCAGTAGTCACGGATACTCTTCCAACGCCCCCTGGTTGGACCCTGTTTGAGTCTGCCACTGTGCCAAAGGCCCCGAAGAACCGTCTTCAATCTTTCAACTTGGGGCTCTTCCGATGCGTCCCCCAATCAACCTGAACAGAATACGCAACCTCTGGCCCTGAGAAGCGGATGCAGGATTCAACTCCATACTACGGATACCTTACGCATACCACACTTTAGCCCACCAGGTCGGTAACTTGGACTTGCAGTGCTCCACGCATATGCCGTGGCATTCTGTCGTTTCCCAGGCTGCAAAGTGAGAACTCAAACTGCCTGCTGAGTGCCGCGCATCCAACCACGATTTCCAACAATCGCTTTCTAAGCCGGCCGGCTTGCACAGCTCTTCCGTCTCTGGCCGCCTGTCGCACTCTCTTGCGACAGTTGACTATCACCCTGTTAGTTTACCTGCGGATTATGCCCTCAAGGTGGACGCCCTCGTCTCAAGTCGCCGTCATCACTCAAGCTGCATGCGTTGCGATCTGTCCGCCACAACTACGGATACCTTGCGTTCGACTTTCGATTCAACCCTGCAACCGTATCTACCTAGATTGCTGTGATACTCTCTACGTGCAGTTGCCCTGTGCGCGCCTCCCTATCAGCCATCCATTCTGTTCATCACCCTCGCCCTCGGTATGTTTTGCGGTTTACCAGAGTGTATGAAGCTTCATACCGATGTACACATCTGTGATCTAATTACTTCGTATCTCCCTGACCAAAAGGGTCCCGTCCTTGGGAAGCTCGCGAGTCGCACTGCCGATCGTCTCCTTGTGCGAACTGGGTCCAGCCTGCCACGCAAGGAATCCACATGTTGCCCACTCCTCTCAGCAGCAGCAATCATGGCAAACAAGGCCTGTGGCCCTGTGCCTGTTCTTGCCTTGATCGCAGATTGTTACCCACATGTCGCAATATCGCCGTTGATCCATGATCCATTCCTTCTTCGTGTCTTCCAGAAGTAATGGGGAGGCGGAGAAAGAACGAAAAGAAGCCTCACTTTGTATCCGTCCATACAATTGTCTTTTTTTCCCCCCCTGTGGACTCCGCATACCTTGCTGGTAAGGAACGTCCCTGGCTTGTTATACGCCCGAGTTTGCCCTGCCGGACTTTCTCGTGGCTGGCTGAAGCGTTCGACCCCCATTCCACTTGCACACACCTCTTACAATCAGTATCCTTACACCCGCAAGATTCGACGAAGAATGCCTACACTCATCCGTAGATTCGCCCTTCGTGATGAGCCGTTGCCTGGCTCGACATCAGCAACATGTTGACTCGAGAAGAACGCTCAACTTGATGCGAAGTGAGTCAACGCGATAATCGGACGGCAGGGAATTTACCGCTTATCTCGCACGTCCGCGGACGAGCACCAGGACTGCAAGGACATTCCGTGCAACTGCGGCTGCAAACCCGCAGCTATCTGCAGTAGTCAGTCGAGGCCCTCTCCCTCAAAGCCTGCACCGCCGAGATTTGATGTTCCCACAACTGGGTACATGCTGCAGAGCGCTTTCCTCTCGACGAGGACCATTTCCATTCATGGTTGGATCAGAAACACTTGGTCACATTTGTCCCAATCAAGATTGACGGGTTCTCATCACCACTCAATCTCGCAATGTGCTACTGCAATCGTTCCCACAGATGTGGCCGTGAGGGGGGGGTTGCTGTCTCGCTGATGCTTTCCGGGTGACGACCGAAGCTCCCCTTCATACCTGCACGTCGGCGAAACACCGGTATTGAGGTCTGCTTTTCAGAGAGGGCTGATGAGAGACACGGTGCTTCTTTCGAAGCCAGCGTGTCACGTCTCGCTTCTGAGCCCGCCACCCACGACGCACAAAGCCAGATCGGCCCATGTGGCCTTACCCGACCCTTCTGAAGATGGCAGAGTGGACAAACATTGTACCGTTTGCGACCAGAACGGAGGGGTTGAAGAAGATATCGAACATGAAAACGATGAGCCGATGCAAATTTGAGTTCTTCCCATCTTTGAGGGCAGAATCTTGACCGACACCTCCGCTGCGCTCGGTGAGTCTTGGTCCTTGGCTTGCACACGATGCCTGTCCACTCCGTCGACCTTCCTTATAGAGTTATAGCCTCTCTCTTATCCGTCTCCCTGGCCTTGAGGTCAAGCCAGTGATATCTCATACTCTGCAGCTGTTTCGCCGTCTATCCATCCAGATCATTTCACAGGCCACATTCTGCATCCTTGACAGATCCATGCTATTGCTCGAGTGTGCAACCAGCCAGTCGCCAAGTAGGTATGTGGGTGTGTACCTTGGGTATTCCGGAGATTTACTCTTAGTATGGGATGGCTTCAGCTCCTCGGCCAAAGCTCTTCGGCTCCTTGTGCGCTTTCGCCGTAGATGGGAGTTTCGCTGTCTGAGGCGAGCAGCCTCCTGGTCGTCCGCAGGCAAGGCGGGTTCCTTTTTACCTCCTTCCAGCCACCAGATGCACTTGAATCGTATCATCCCTGCAACCATGGTTCATCTCAGCTCTTTGCCTACTTGCCAATAGAATTCCAACCCGCCCCCGAAGATGGGATCTTCCAACCCCCTCCGACAAATCGCTGACGTGGTTGGTTCATGTATGGAGTACAAAGCAGTGTTCTGATAGAGGAGTCCTCTGTCAAATCCATCTTCTTGCGACCCCCCTCTCTAGCCAGAAGCCTATACTATGGTGTCAATCCGCGTACCCGACATGTAAATTACATGTTCTCTACTTGTCTAACTTGGGGCCCAAAGTATTAACCAATTAATGTTTCGACTCTCAATGCTTCTCGAAGGAATCTACATTTGACTACATGCCCCAGGGACACACATACTGTGTATTCTACTCGGTTGTGCGGAGTCTTGAGACTACTAAATCAAAGACTGACATGAGTTGAAAACAAAGTTGACATGACACCGGTTCCCCGTCTGCTCAGGTGCCCCGGCCGTGGATCTCACTTCCGCGACTGGGTCGGCCTCAACGCCGCGCCCGCAGCTCTGCGCCCGCGCCCTCCGACGACATCTTCTACCGGCCGAAACGTCGCCGTCCATCTCCCGCACCTCTAACAATCACCCCTTCACGATATCGAAGGGGGGAAAGAACGTAGCAATCCAAGCATTCTGACTAAATTTCCGCAATGGTGGCAAAAAAGACCTAAGTAAGA